CTTGGATCATAACTTTACCCATGGTCAGGCGGTAAGATTTAAGTGTAACCACGGACATCAAAAGCAAGCATTATCCTTTATTACGTGTAGCAATGGACGATGGGATCGTAGTTTTCCAAGCTGCGCTGGTAGGTAATAGACCATTTTTGAATTAGTCAAATACCGCAGTGTTCCTTGATCACAGACTCGTTGATACAGCATTGATTAGCCTCATTTCAGTGTACAAATATTCACAAATACTAACGGAAAAATAAAGGATGCACAACTTCAACGATACAAACAATTTGAAATTCCACGGACATTCACTGAAATGCATGAATATTCCAAGTAATTGTATACGAAATACAGTCTAACACTACTGTAGAACCGGAATGCTGGAGTATTGTTCACCACTATTCAGTGCTAGTGAAAAAGTCTTTAAATTTTTAGAGACTGCTTCAGGCCATTGATTTCTCAACCGAAGGCTGATTAAGCATAGTTTTTGGGAGTGAATAAGCCAATGAGAGCGCGCGTACTATCTAAGCAATATTATTTAACAATTATTTGCCTAAGGCGAAGTGAATATCGGGGAATAATAACCGAAACGAAGTTGAGGTTACTATTCCCGATATTCACTGAGCCTGAGGTGAATAATCGTTTTAGTATAAATACACAGGTGATTCTTTCAAAAAAAGAAAAGAAAGACAGCATTTTCTTTCGTTATTTCTAATTCCTCTCCGTTAACAGCAACAAAGCGGCTGGCCGCCATTTTGGATTATCGATGGAGATGATTATCGTGTGATAATCTGAGTTTCTCGACCAATCAACGCGCGAGACTTTCAATAATCACCTGTGTATTTATACTAAAATTATAAAATATTGTTAAAAATAGGAAAACAAAATGTAAAACTGACTATAAACACAGATTGGAACTTCTGAGGAGCAGCAATATGCACTTAATAAATATGTCTATGTTTTATAGATTGTGGATCTGCTGTTGGAATGGAGAGCAAAATTATTCCCGATGGGGACATTCGAGCATCCTCAACAAGAGACCAGTACCACACGGCTAAAGAAGGACGACTAAACGGTCCAAGTGCCTGGTGCTCAGCAAATGAAAAGAATCCCTATCTTGAAATTAATTTCGGAGGAAGACTCTACAATATAACATGCTTAGCTACGCAAGGGAGTGTTCTTGACAACAAATGGGTAGTGGCCTACACTTTACGTTATAATTCAGGAAGATCATCATTTATTCCTTACAGAGAAAATAATGTTGAGAAGGTGAGTTTTTTTGTTTATTCAAATTTCATTTGTTAATGCTTGTGTATGTCGCTATAAGTCTTGGAAAAAGTATTAAATCCTTTTAACCAAGAAACTGCGTAAAACCTAATTCCCAGCAGTGTATTCACCCGTACCTTCTGTAATTTTTAGTGTGATGCAGTTACTCTTTTTAAAGTATTTGCAACAAAATTGATAGATTATCATAAGATTGAATCAGAATTTAGAAGTCGAACATAAGAAAGAACATAAGAAAACCCGTACAAGAAAGAAGAGAGCCAACAAGCAACTTTACTCACATATTTCTGACACTGGAGCAACTTATATAAATTACAATCATTAACATATAAAAAAATGAGCATTAACAGTGGCCATCATTGTCTTTACTGCCCTAATAATGTTTTCTCATATCCTATTCATTGCTTCTTCCCAATTTTTTCTAGATTTTCACCGGAAATGATGACACAAACTCAATAGTCTTCAAGCATTTTAATACGCCATTCAGTGCATATAAGATTAGAGTTTATTCTCTGGTAGTTAGCGGAAGTGATATCAACCCTGCCTGTATGCGAGTTGAGGTCTATGGAGATCGCCAAGGTGAGAAGTAATTGCCCTAATTTAGGTAGTCGTTTGCCCTCAATTGGGTGTTCCACAAAAAGGACAACTTCTGGACCATAACTTTGATTATGAAGCTTGTGTAAATTTTCATCATGTTTGATAGAGGGGACCCCTCTATGAACTATGTTTTCATTCACTGCAAAATTGGTCATGTGAAAGTACGTTATAATCCGTAAATTCAAAATGCTTATCCTTTCTGGTATACCTCAATTGTTATCGGCTGTTTTTATTAACTTCGCTAATGATGGCGTCAGTATTTCCCCCCCTACAGCTGGTTGATATATTTGACTTATGTTTCGTGGCCGACGTTCTTATATATACTACAATTCATGTATGCGTATTGCAATGATTTCTGCCGATAACAAATTCTATAACCCCTAATAATGGACGAATAAATTAAAAAAGAAGCTACGGACGAGGATAAATGTTATAAATGGCATTAATCAAAAATACTCCAGTTCCGAGTTCTCTTTGGTTAAAAAGAGCACATGAATTTGTACACAATCGAAGACTGAGACCGAATGATCTACGAGTCAAAAGCCCATGAAGCCGAATGCCGAATTGGGTATTGATTCGTAGGCCACGAGGGCGAGATAATTGTTTTAGTATAAACCTACTACACCTTTTGCTGTTCATTAACCGCAAAGGAATATTCATTGAAGCGAAGAAGCATTGTCATTAGAGCGAACAGGCATACAATAAGGCGAACGGAGTCTCAATAGTGCGATGGAACTTTCATTAAGAAATTTAGACCTATCCCGAATTCGCTTGACTGGTCACGAAACAATGGTTTGAAGTTGAGGTTGAACTTGATGAATAAAAGAATCTAGTCCAGTCTTGACTTCAAACCATTGTCTCGTGGTCATCCAAGCGAATTCGGGATAGGTCTATTGGTAAAATAAATGAATACAAACAATTTTGAAATATATTTTATTTTAACGTTGTTTTGAAACCGCTATTTTTCGCTACTGCTCATGGTCTATCACTAATAGACCACTAGTACCTTGGCCAATCAGAGTGCAGGATTTGTGATAAACAATTAGTACGTTTATGCTAATTATGGTGGTGTTATTGTTACTACATAAAACAAAATACTAATTATGAAGATAATGATGATAGAGCGGATGCAATTAAGCTGTGAAATAACATCAAACTAGGTACTAACTAATAGTATCTATTTAGTGACTAATACGTCACTATTACTCAACCAGAACACAATTAATCAGACACAAAGAAATACCCAGGAGACAACATAACATGGTAATTATCATTTTACTCATTAAGCACTTTGAAGTTTATTGCGAACTTTATTATTCTAATAGAGTGCTCGCACTACACCCGTGAAACATACTAATTTTTAGTATTAAACAGTGAAAATCAAACAATAGAAAACAAAGGATTCCGTATGAAATAGTACTAATTAGTACTAAATATGTTTCACGGGTTTAGTGCGTGCACTCTATCGTGCAAATGCAAATCATTTTTAAAATCCATTTCATGTTTTCTTTACTGCTCTTTATTTAATAAACAAATACGTACAAAAATTTAATTTAAGTCTAGAGTCTTTCATATTTCTTCGAGACAAGATTTCCACAAGAAGGTCAAAAAGTAAAATTGGACATTACATGATTGAAACATAAAGAACATGTACGTACGTTGTGGGTCAGAATCATCAGATTTGCTAGTGCTCAAAGCAAGGGAGTGTGGATGAGCTGATGTACTTTCAATGAGTAAAATGATAATTACCATGTTATGCCGTCTCCTGGGTATTTCTTTGTGTATGCGAGTAGAGATACAGTCAATTCAAAAAATGTTGTCGTCGAGCAACTCAAGCCTACGCGACTAGACCGAAAAGAACTATGGGTAGTAATCATTGAAGCCGAGTTGACTGCATAATTTTATCTAACTAGTTATGCCTGGTTTACAGCACGAACGTTCGTAGGCGAGCGGGAAGTGTTGAAGGAGACGTTTTTTAAAACCTTCATATATTCGAAATTGTGAACTGAATCATAACTACCTTGTTTTTCTTTCCCTAAACCAGAAGGCATGTATTTGATGGATTGTTTCTTGCCATTATTATCTTATTACTAGCGGGAACAATTTATTCAGAACGAATATTTAAACCGCTTCAGTGATTTTTACCCATATTTCTTTCGGTCCAGTCGCGTAGGCTTGAGCCAGTCGACGACAACGTTTTTTGAATTGACTGTATATGGATGTGACCTTCCTTCAGGTAAGTGTATAGTAATAATAAGAATAGGTCATCCAATGTCTATGGTAACCCTGTCTGTATACCAGTAGAGATATATGGATGTGACCTTCCTTCAGGTAAGTGTATAGTAATAATAAGAATAGGTCATCCAATG